ATACATTTGAAATAGTCAACCAAAAAAGATTGAAAAGAACACTCAAGATATAAGTTTTATAAAGAGACCTTTATAGCCGTTTAATTTATTATGTTTAAGAATGGGACTTAATGCCTCTTATGTTCCGAGTATTAGATTTTATAGGAATTAGTTCATCAGATCTGGTAACATACAGGCTTTTTTGTATTAATCTAAGTGTTTAGTCTGCCGGTACTCAGGTTTGGGTTCATTATTAGATTAGTACTTTTGAATTGCAATAGTTAGATTATTGTAATATATCTTGTAGACTATTTAATGAGTTCGGGTTTATTAATAATAAATATCATATTGTCCCATTTTACGCGTATCTGTCTAGTCTCTAAAAATTTGTTATAAATTCTTTTACATGTATTTATTAGTTTGTAAACTTTATATGAAGTTTTTTCGTTTTCAATTTGTATTGAAAGCAATAAATTTTTTAAAAAAGACTTTTACTAAAACATATCTATGATGTTTTACACCTATGTATATATTATCTCAAAAAAATTGGCTAATTAATCGGTGTGAGGCGCCTTAAGTAAACTGTTCTATGCTCTTCCCAAACCCTAACCTTTAAAAATTACCCTAATGTGAAAAAATTTGTGTTAAAACTTAAAAAATCTAAAGAATATAATAAAAATATCTAATAGGTGCAAAACCACCATAAGTACGTTTTATGATAAATGTTTAAAAATTATAAAAATTAATTAACCAATCATTTGAGATTTTCTGCTATGCTCAATTTCCGGGTCGGATCCATCGGATTTAAGTCGGCATTTAGCAATACAAGTCAACTATTTATGGGCCAAAATTATCAGGTGGGAGCTTTACTTAATGAGTGGTATGACTTAATTAGTAAAACTTTTAATGATCTTGTGCAAAATTAATTTGGGTAATTATCGTGCTTTTCAAATTACTGTCACACACACACGGGGATCTGAGAACCTGAGAATGTAAATTTTAATGTAAATATAAAAAATTCTAAAAATGCAAGAATTTTTTTTTTCAAATTATCGCGCTTTTAACACTAAAATCTTCAAAACTTTCTAAATTTACAATTTTTTTTTTGCAAAAAATCCAAATTTCTTGCCTATAAATAAAAATTTCAAAAATTTTCTTTTATTCTTGCTTTCCTGACCCTGCACCTAGTAATACACAGGAGCTGATGATTGATATAGCTAAAATAGCGATGGGAATCTTAGACTTGTTTTCGAATCAAATAAATTAAAATTGAATAATGACATTAAATAGTATAGGAATTCTGTTTTTCTCATTCATTTCCTTATTTTTTTTATTGTTTTATTTATTTTTTTATTTTTTTTCAATTTTACTTTTATTTTACTTATTTTTTTTTTTTAAAAAAAACACTTCGAAATTGTAATAATTCAAATTACAATAAATTACAATAAAATTTACGAATTATTATGACCACACATAACTAGAGATGGGCATTCTGCATTATGTACATTACATTACGCAAAACATAATGTCGCATAATGTAATGTAGACATTTTAAAATTTAAAAGTGCACATAGAAATTATTATATAATTTTAATGCAACAAAAATTAATAAAATATTATATTTTATATCATATGTAATACTAAGTGATATGTAGCATCAGTTAGTGATTTCCTACCTGCATAAAGCAGGCTAACTAATATGAGGTTTGAAAATACCATAAAATAGTAAACTTCTGTCTAGAGATAAGAAAAATTGGGAATGAATCTTGCTTCTTAATTGCTTCTTGATTTTGGTAGAGTACATAATGTCGCATGCTGCATTATGCTACATTATGCAATGCAGGGCCGCATTCGCACATCTCTACTGTAAAGAATAAAATTTTCCTTTGTTTTATTATATTATATTTTATCTTATATTATTTCTATATAAATATATTATTATAGTTTTATCTTTATTTTTATGTATATAGTTTTTCCAATTCCATTTTCATAGCAGTAACCTTTGAATCGTGTAAATATTTTAATCAGTTATACTAAAATAGAAGTTGTAAGTGGCATAGTTGCTTAGATGCATGAAAATCAGATGCATCGTGAATACGTGGTAACTACCGCGAAGACGCGGTTATAACAGCGAATGCGTGGTAATAGCAGCGAAAGCGCTGAGATTACTAAGGCCTCGTCGAAAATACAGTGAATACGCTGAAAATTCCGCGAATACGTTGTAAACCTTTAACATGTATATAAGTGCCTGGAATTTAATAAAGAACGACATTACATGTCCACCTTCAATTCCTAATAAACTATAAAGTGTATATACTTATCTGAATTTCCCTTAAGACTTTATCTTTTGAATTGACTTGTAACTTTAATAAACCCTTTCGAGACTCAATTCGACGGACTGAATTGACTTGTAACTTCGATTTGGCTTATTAAGACTCGGATTCTAGAACGGTTGTGGAATCAGATATTGCCATTCACATTAGTGACTTGCGGGAATTGTAGTAGAGAACGATACTTACGATTGGTTATTCAACCTCCTGATCATCACCACAGTCAGTCCTTAGGATCATCCTTTGTTATCACCCTTAACGGCATCACCCGTCATTGCTTCACTTATTATCATCGCTCACTGATATCAAAATATTACTCTAAAGTACCATATCGCCCTACTAGATCCTTAACACATATAAAAGACCCATTTCACTTACCCCAAAGTTAGCCTTATTATCCGTACACCGTTGGAGTTAGATTGGCATCATTTCCTTATTATTTTATTAGCTCTCCCATTCAACGGTTACACTACCCATAACGCAAAAATCTACAAAACTTCTTTAAATTTAATATTAATAATTTTACGAATTGCTACTTAAAATAAAATGCTAATGTTTTACGATAGTGTAACATTCATTAGTATTTTATAACTAGATAAAATGTTTAGTTTATTCACTTAAATCTTTAAAAACCTTGAGTGAAGAATCTCAATAATGTCTTGTCCATTTTGATATTTGAAATCGTTTTCAAATCATATGAACTAATAGAATTCAAAAATGATTTATTGTTCATAAAAACTTTTGGTGTAATATAATAAACAAGGTAACATTAATTCATTGTCCAATTTTAGGTTCATTTTGACAATCGGGATTAATATCAATTGTCTTTACCATTTTAGATGCACAGATGGTAATTCTTCTTGAGACTTGACGGTTTTTATGGTCCAATTCGGTGGCTTTTCGTCGATCAAGGTCGAATGCGTTTTTGGAAATGTACAGCGATTGTTTTCTTAAATTTTTTTTGTTCAGGTTTTAGGAAATAATAAAATTTTAGAGAATCAAATAATTTGTTACAGTAGAATCTGTTGATTTCTATGATTTCACATAGCATCATAATTGCAAACCGCTATAATTGACAAGTAACTTAGAATTTCAGATTTTTTGCTTTTTCCAACCCATAATAATTTGTCAAAGCTTGACCATATATAAAGATCTATATTCCTATACTGTATAAGGTCACTTTTTTAAAAAAAACAGTGATTGCTTAAAGACTTTTATAATACCCGGTTTAATGATAATAACTTTGTATAATCGAATTAATCATTTAAAATTACTTGAATAATCAAACAAAATCAGTTGAATAGCAAGAATTAAATTACTTCAACAAATTGAATAACTTGAATAACTGAAATCAAATTAATTTATTTATCTAAATCGTTTTTCCAACGTATTAATAAAAAATTTATAATCTAAAATAGTGTTGCAATAGCAAAAGTTATAGAGTGAAATTCAACTGATGTAAATCAATTACCCGGATAATATTTTTATATTTTTTAAAGTATGATGTTTCACTCATTTCACAAGAATGTTAAGATTTACTATGCAAAATAATTCCAAATAGTTCCAAAACTGAGGCACTTGCTTAAAAGACAATTACATTAATATTTATTACTATTGCTAGCTATAATAGCTATACAAAGAAACGGCTAGCTATAATAGCTATACAAAGAAACGGTTAAGTAAAGAACACTCAAGAATTTAATTTTATTTAAATCTAAACTTTTTAGTACCGTTATCTTGATAATATATATTAAATGTAAAGTTGCGTAGTGTTAACTTATATAAATTTGGTTGGAGTATAAATAGATATGAGTGGTATTGTTATATTGCCTAAAAATATAGAGCTGAGATATTAATGCATCACTTGTATAAGGTAGCAATGGTCAAAAAATGTTGGTATTATTTTTATTATTTGGAATTTATAATTAACAAAAGTAGATTTTTGTTGATAATACATTCATTCTTTCTCGTGCATTGAATTTTTAATAAAAATCAACAAAAAAATCATGTGAATGTTTTTCTATAAATTTACACACTTTGTGATACAGTAAATCGTCCTTTAGACATTTTGTTCACTATAAATGGTTGATAATATTAGCTAATATAAATAATAAGCACAAATACATATATAAGATTTTGTTTTTTTCCTTTTCTATATAGGATTAAAATTTGCATTTATTTCCAAATAAGGGGATCCGTTAAAGCCAGGTTCGATCACGAGATTTTGACCAATCAAAATCATGAATTTCTGTTTACACGAAGCAAAAATACAAAAAATGAAAGTTTAAACCTATAAGACCATTTTAACTTTAGCTCCACAGGCCCTAATGTAACCCAACATTAATGTAATTAACTTTCGTGATCAAACCTGGCTTTAACGGTTCCCCAAATAAAGATTATCAACTTTATTTCGCTTTATAATAGACTTAATTAATAATCTCTTTATCAATTTTATAAAATAGGGTTTCTAAACACTCATTTCATTTCTGATTTCAAAATTTCGAAACATAAATAGGATATTTTAATACTCTTATTTATTTCTGATTTGTTCTACTTTTTATTAATTCTGAAACACCTCAATATTTTTATCTGACTTTTTTTTCTGATTATTGTCTTTTTCTTATAAAATAATAAGATTTTTGAAATTTATTAACGAAACTTTTATTTATTTCGTAATTAATAGAGTAAATCATGAAATTAAATATACAAATTATTCACTTTGCAATATTCTTATTACTAATTTTCGTTCATAGAATTAATTCTAGTCAATCTACTACTAAAAATGACTTAAAATTCAATTTAACTACCACTCCAACTACAACTACCAATGCTAAAGCCATTTCCACAAACAATATCAAATTATATACTACTGCCAAAGCCAACGTAATAATTACATCCAAAGTCGTATCCACTACTGTCAAAGCTAATGCAATGACTACGACCAAAGCCTCTTCCTCTACTGTCAAAATCAATGCAATCACTACGATCCAAGCTGCCCCTACTACTATCAAAATCAATGCAATCACTACGGCTAAAGTTGCCTCTACTACTGTCAAAATCAATGCAATCACTACAACTAAAGCTGTCAAAATCAATTCAACCACTACGGTCAAAGCTGCCCCTACTACTATCAAAATCAATGCAATCACTACGGCTAAAGTTGCCTCTACTACTGTCAAAATCAATGCAATCACTACAACTAAAGCTGTCAAAATCAATTCAACCACTACGGTCAAAGCTGCCCCTACTACTATCAAATTCAATGCAATCACTACGGCTAAAGCTGTCAAAATCAATTCAACCACTACGGTCCTCACCACAAATAGAATTAGCAGTAACAAAGCCACCACTACTAATACAGCTATACCAATTATCATTCCTTATTGTTGTAAAAGGGGAAGTCCTGGTTTCGGTAGTCGATATATGCATAGTATAGTTTATAATGTACATCTTAATACAGAAACATTATTAGAATGTTGTATAGCCTGTATTAATAACCGTGATTGTATTCAATGGACCTTTGACCATTATAAAAAGAAATGTTGGTATGCTAATAATGCTTTACAAGATGTTTGTAAACAAAGTACCACAGGTTATTCCTACTTTGAAGGTGGAGTTATGCGATGTTCAGGTGGTTGTATGCCGTAACAAATCCTACACTTACTTATATGTTAGAAGTTTTATTTTCAAAAAGTAATCTCAAAGTGCTTAAATTATATTTATCAGAATTAAGCTGAAATTAATAATAATAGTGCGGTAATCTATTCTGTAGTAAAATTATTATTTATAGATTTTTTGCTTAATAAATAAGTTATAAATTACTATAAATTCCATTTACATAATTATTATAGTTTTTTACAAGAGAAGATGGGCGCCACCGGCGCCCTATTGCGTTACTTGTGTCAAGGTTGGTCAAATTCATTAATATATGTCAGATGATATTGGTTAGGTCATGTGCTCATAATTATGTTTACGATAACCATTTGGATTCCTCAGAATATGTAAGATGATTACGTTATTAATTAATAACAAAAAAGTATTAACGTATATTTATATCGGAATAACCCAGTTGAACGTTTTAGTTGAATTTTAGTTATGATTGATTATTGTTAGCATTAAAATCATTAAAATGGAATATTCAGAGATCATCATAACAGATAAGCAGTTTGAGTTTGTGCGGCTTAATGCTGGCCGGTGGCTTTTCGCTGCATAAAACAGCAGTTAAATCACCACCCTAATTAATTTCGCTGGCCAATCAGTTTCAAGATCTTGTGTAACGGAAAGAAGTGCAAAAAAATCAAAACAACAAAAAAACGCTCGTAGCTCAAAATTTTGCATATGAAAGTTCCTTCTGCGTACTAACAAAAAAAATTCCTCGTGAAATTTTACTATAACTATAACCCTCTAAACCAAACATTATCCTACTGGTGGGACCCTAACCCTAAACTAATCGCGAAACAGTTTTTTTAATAAGATCACATAGTCAGCGAAATTTTTTAGGGTGGTGATGCTAGACTTATAGCTGCATAATGTAGGCGATGGATGGTGGGAATTATAACTGCGCTTTTCACTAAATCAGCCATTTTCTCACAGTATTCATTATTAAGTTAGAATTACTATATGCGGAAGGTCATTTAGAATCATACTCCTCCTGTAATCTTGATTATGCAGGATTGGTCCTATTCCTGTTGCTTTTTTACGGAGCACATTGCCCCCGTGTAAACCTTTTTGATCTGTTGACTTTTGTCGACTCGAATGAAATTACGGATTTCCTTATGTCAAGGAAATGGATCTGCATTCGATATAAAACACAATTTCGATAATAATACCCTCTTTTTTTGATTATTTTAATATAAAACAGCTTTGCTATATGTAAAATTTCATGCTACGCATTTGTACTTAGAAGTACATAGCCGGTTGTATTAGTAAAATTTTGCAGTTTTTTGTTTAGCGTTAGGGTTATCGTTTGTTTACGTCACATGAAGATCATCAAAATTCTGCAATTGTTATTGGTTCCGAGCTGAAATTCTGCAGATCCATTTCCTTGACATAAGGGCACCCTGAAATTACAGCAGATTGGTATAGGTGAGCAGATCTGTATAGTACATGTTCAAATTTTTTAAAAACTACACATACCGATATTAATCAGCTATAATTTCTAAGCTTAATAAGTATAGTTTATAAATTAGCCTGTACTATACGGATCCGTTTACTTATACCATACGTGTAGGGACGATGATTTTCTGCAAAATGCAGAATATCGCAGAATTTGCAGAATTTTCGGAATTTGCTTGTTTTTACAGAAATTAGATTTTATTACGAATAATTACAGAATTGACCTAAAATTTAACTAGGATCTAACTAATTGGAGAAATAGGATTTTTTATTGCAAAAATTTGCAAAAAATTTTATTTTGCAGATAATCGCAGAATAATCGCCGCAGAAAATCATCGTCCCTGCATACGTGCCAGTATATGATTTATTAATTGAGTGTCAATATACATAATAATTGTATCGATATTTTAATCGTAAGTAGGCAGATTAGTTATGGGGAATTTTTTAACATAGTATTACGTCATGATTGCCAATGATGCCATTTTCCCATGTATTGACAATTTGAAGTTATGAGTTATGCACTTATAGGCTCTGACTAATCAAATAATTTGGACAGGACACTCGTGACAGCGGGTAATTTTATTATACTTTGAAAATTCTGGAGAAATATAGAAATACCGGTTTTGTTACAATAGGAGCCAGATTTCATATCGATATTGCTTTTTAATTCAGCCATTATTAAATAAATTGGCGTGGGTTCGTAAAAAATTTAAATGGTATAATACTATTGAGTGAAATCCATTTACTTAATTTATTATGAAAATTCATGTGCAATTAGTATCATTATACATTATAGCTATATTTAGAAGTAAATTGAATCAAGAACGTACCTATTTTTAAACAATTATATTTTGCTTGCTAGTTACATTCTTTATTCTAATTGGACGGACAGCACATGATGTCGAGTAATTTTATAATTATTTGGGTTGGATGGATTGTTAAACTATTAAACTGCTGATTATTCAATTTTTAGGGGGAAATTTCAGGTTTTCACTTTCATGACTCATAATTTAAGATTACAGTACTGTACACACCGGTTTGGAGCGAAACTTAGATTCATCGATTTGGTAATTATTCGTGATCACATAATAATTGAGCAAGTACGCACGTATCTGGTATTGCATAAATAGCCCTATGCGTTGACGAAGTCACGCTAGGGTTATTATCGCGAGGATAACCTGATTTGTGGCTTATATGAAATTGA